CACATCAAAAACCGCAAAACACCTTTCCATTGCTCATTCTCACTTGTATTAATCCAATTCCCATGAATTCACCATATAAGTCCAAAAGAAAAACAAGTTAAAGAAAAGAAGATAAAAGAAAGAAAATTAAGAAAAATAAAAATCAAAAGAAAAGGGTTAGAAAACTAGGTTGCCTCTAGAGAAGCGCTTGCTTTAGGTCCTTAGCTCGACCTTTCCTCTAAATCATGGAGGGTCAAAGAACACCACCTTATTCAAAGTGGCGGAAGGTACAAATTCCTCTTTAATTCTTAAGAACTTCACATTGTTGCTTGATGAAACTTCATTTGCTTGAGCTTCAACAACAAACTTCTCATGCTTCAACTTCATTCTCATTCTCATCTTCTTAGCCTTGTTCCTTCTAGTAGACGGTTTTACACTGTAGACACCCAAATATGTCTCCCCTAAACCAAACCCAGTGATGAATACCTTTCATGCCATTTGATTATCGAACGAGGTGAAAGTGTGAAAATTCTAGTGACGAGGATGTTTTTATTAAAATATATATTCTTTCTGTTTTTGAAAGTATTTCTTTTCTTACCCTATTTATGAAAAAGTGAATTTAATTTTAGTTTGGTCCATGATATGGGTCCAATAATAGTGTAGTTGTATGGGGCTTGAAAAGACCTTTCCAACGATATATTATAAGCCTAATTCGATGAAAAATGAGGAAGTTATGGCCATAATACTAAACTGGGCCCAAACCGGATTTTACCTACGACCCAATGATCATGTGGAAGGTCCAAAGCTTTAATCCTATACCTAAAATAATTAGGATTTATTAGAAACTTCCATAAGTTTCTAAAAGATCTTAATTATCCTTTTTGAAAAGATAAAATCAAAGAGTTTGAAATTGAAACTTTCCTTTTTTAAATCCTAATTCTATTCGAATTTAAAGATGTTCAAAGACAGTCATATATTATTTTTGTACCTCATAATCTTTATTCAAATCTTATATGGTTGAATAGATCTTGAAATTATCTTTCCAATGATATATTATGATATTAATTCCGAGCTATGACAAAAAAGATATGAATTAAATATGTAACTCTATCAAAAATAAAATCCTTCCACTATTTCGGCCATATCATTTTATCTAAAAAAGATTTTAATCTTATTTCAATTGGGTTGGAAAGTAGACTTCAGGAGCTTTCCAACGACATATTATATGACTTATTGGACTTCTGGATCAAAAGATATGATAAAAACAAAATCCGCAAAAAATTGTCTTAGCACCGCCTGACGACAAGTTCGTCGCCTAGCGACACGCTTGTCGTCTGGCAACAGGATGAGTTTCATTCCTTTACAATTCGATCTCTTTTTATCGGTTTCTGGACTATTTTCTTTAAATAGGGTCCTTGGACCTCCGTTTTTCAATAACCAGAATTCTCTAATTCTTCCCTCTCTCTAAGCTAAAGCTTATTCTCTCTCTCCCTCTTTCTAGCCTAACCTTTTACAAACACAATTCCACACTCATTAGCACTAGACACACCTAGCCAAGTTCGAAGTTTCTTTCGCCCTAGACGTGAAAGGTTTGATATTTCTGAGGGTTTTTGGTCCCAAATCTCTATTTCAATTATTTAATTTAATTGTTTGATTATTATTTTCCTTAAAGTTACTAACGTGTGTATTTTGTTATTAGAAAAAGGTACGAGGCATTGAAGTAAGTAATTTAATTGTTTTATTGATATTATGATATAGAAATCATGTTTAGATTGTTATTTTGATTCATAGTGTCATGTTAGGATGTTTTATTGTTTCCTAGTATCATGTTTAGGGTAATAATTAAGGTTCTAATATCAATTATGATTTCTATGATGCTTTCTATTTCTTTCCTAATATCATGTTAGTATCATGTTAGGGTTAAAGCTTTTATCTTTATTGTTTAGTGACATGCTAGGGTTTGTTATTAATCTTGTTAGTATCGTGCCTAGGATCTTGCTATTGATATTATGCTTTAACATAAATATTATGATTATTTTAATTATGATTGTTATTATTATGATTTATTGTGATGATTATTATGTTGCTTGATATGTATTATTGTTATTGCTTGATCACGCATTTTATGTATGTTTAAAGGGAATTGGTACTTGTAATCACGCTTAATAAGATAATTAATAATCTTGTTTAGGGATAATATGATTATAATTCAAGTGATCACCAATAATAGTATTATTTGTGCAATAATATTCAACCAACATATATTAGTTTTAGGGTAAACCTATTGATTGTATGTTAGTTAGAAAGCGTACATGAATACGAGGAGAATAAAGTAGAGGCCTATTATTAGGGCGAGTTCTTTCTCTTTTAGATTGGATTTGTACCTTCATCCCCGAACTTCCAGTCATGGTTCCAGACCTATTGGAGTTAACGATCTCCTGGATCATTAAGGGGTGTAACTTTCACCCTGTGAACGGTTTACAAGTTCTTAAAACTTGTTGGCGACTCTTTTTCTCTAGCTTCCTTCCCTTTGGACGCCACCATGCTTAAGTGTATGATCAAATTGGGGTTCAAGTTTGGGATAATGCTTGAAATATTCCCTACAGTTTTTTGGCAACTCCACTGGGGAGGATTTCTATTTTAATTCCTAAAATTTATTTGTCAATGATTTAGAATGAACGGATGAGACTCGAAAAGTTCTTAGTATTTCATGTGCGTAATTTTTGAATTACATTATTGTCATATGCATAAAAAAGGGCCTCATTGGAAAGACCATCTGTAAAGAGTCAAAAACATAGGATTTTTACAAGTAGGAAATTTGAGAAATATCTTTCACAACTAGAATCAAAATAATATTGCGAAAACTGGAAAATTCTAAGAACACAGAAAGTTCACACATTAGTAACTTCAAGGAAAATATAAAACAAAACAATTAATTAAACAATTGAAAGAGAGATTTGGGACCAAACCCTTAGAAATTAAAACCTTTCACGTCAAGGGCGAAGGCAACTTCGAACTTGGCTAAGTGTGTCTAGTGCTAATGTATGAGGAATTTTGTTTGTAAAAGGGTTGGCTTAGAAAGAGGGAGAGAAAATCAAGAAATTTTGGATGAAAGTTGGTTAGAGTTGATAGAGAGAATTGATGATGGAAATTGATGATTGAAAACTGAGGTTTTAGGAGGCTATTTATAAAGAAAATCAGCCGGATATGATAAAAAACGAATCAGAGTTTCAAAAAGAATAAAACACGATTGCAGCGCCAAACACGCGGTTGTCGCCAAATGCTGGAGTGCAGCGCCAGACCTAAGACGCTGGAAATAAATTTCCACGCATTTTCTTATTTTGATAAAATTTAGCCGTACGAGAGGGAAAAATTGTATTTTCCTTAAAAACACTTCTTTTATTCTTATTAAACCTCTTAAAAGTCAACTAAAGTCAATTTCTCAATGCTAATTAAATTAGAATTCAAAAGAACCTTCTAGAAGAATCTAGAAGACTATAATATATCCTATTGCATTAGTAATGATAAATCAATAATAGGCCCTCCTCTAGATCATTGGGCCGCACATAAATATCAAACCGGGCACAGTTTAGTAATTTGGCCATAACTTCCTCATTATTCATCGAAATTGGGCTTATAATATATCGTTGGAAAGGTCTTTTCAAGCCCTATCCAACTACACTATTATTGGACCCCTATCATGGACCAACTAAACTGGAATGCACGTTTTTCATTAATAAGGTAAGAAAAGAAATATTTTCAAAAACAGAATGAAGTGATAAAAAAATCCTCATCACTAGACTTTTCACACTTTCGCTTTATTCGATAATCAAATGACGTGAAAGGTATTTATCACTGGGTTTGGTTTTGGGGAGACACATTTGGGTGACTACAGCCATCTTTGGTTTTCTTGCCAGGAATCTCATTGCCATGCCTACCCTACATGAGTATTTTTACCAAGACTTTTACGCCATCTGAATCTTACAGATCCAGATTTAAATTAAATTGTGTGTCGTAATGGAGTAGACTTAAAAAAGCTTGCAAATTTTTATTTCAATCGCGCTGTCTCTAAGTCTTATCATGTATACCATAGAAGGACTTACATTTCTTGCATATTTAGCAAGATTTTATTAGTAAACGGTAGAGTAGGACATGCTTGTTTAGCGTCTGTGCTTGAACATGTTAAATCTGGGAGATCTCCTATGCCTACTTGCCTTGGAGAAACTTTGCGCGGCCTTGACAAAGCAACAGCTGACCAGAAAGCCATTAGGAAGGGCTCTCTAGTACTGTTGCAGGTAAAAACGCGCTCTGATTAGCCCCGTGACACAAAGTAGGCACCGTGTCACGGTGCATGTCTGCCGTGTCACGGTGGTTTTTCTGCAATTTTTTTTCGACTGATTTTTTTGTATTTTTATTTTGCAGATTTGGTTGATGGAGCGTTTAGAACTCTTTGAAGCCCCCAACAATATTGAAAAATATGGTCCCAACGATCTAGTCCGCAGGAAGAAGAATCACTAGTACAAAACTAACCTTAAGTAACACCCAAAAAATGTTACATAATGTGGTAAAAGTGTTATTATAGACAATAGGTAACACTTTAGTAGGTGATACTTCCGCCCATGTTCCCTAAGGTCTTATGTAACACTTTGGGTAACGTATGGTAACACTTTTAAAAGTGTTACTTTAAACCCTCTTATGTAACACTTTTTTATATTATTAGTATCATTTTTAAAGTGTTACCTTTTATTTCTCAAGTAACACTTTCTCATCTTCAGTAACATTTTTCGTTCATATAGGAACACTTTATCCAACATTACGTGTCATTTTTTCGAACAAACGTATCACCTAATTGGTTATTAGGTAACATTTTTCAATCATCTTGTAACATATTGTAGCACTTTATTCGACATTATGTATCACTTTTTGCAAACTACTGTAACACCTTAATAATTAATAGGTAACATTTATTATTATTATTATTATTATTATTATTATTATTACATGTTCAACATCAACGATAGTGAAATTAACATATACGATTAACAATTATTTGAATTTATATAATTTCATAGTTTCTTCACAAAAATCTATAAACACCAATTTTTTGTTTGGCTAAGTAATGTAATAAAAGAATTAATAAGTCAGCTTCGACCTTGAAATTAGACCACCAAATTCTACCCACTTTTTTGTTTCAAAAAAAAAAAAAACCCAGCAATAGTAACATTAGCAGGAGCACAGCAGCAGATATCATAAGCAGCAGCTAGAAGGAATTACAGCAGCACCAAAGCTACAAATAGCGGTAGCAGCAGACAGTGATAGTAGTAGCAGACAACGGGCAGAAAATAGCAGCATGCATCAGCAACAACGGGCAGAAAACAACAGCATGCATCAGCAACAACGAGCAGAAAACAGCAGCAAAAAGCAGTAACAGCTAGCAAAAAATAGGCATCTTGACAGCATAAAGCGGTAACAGGCAGAGAGCAAAAACAGCAGAGAGCGGAAACATTTATGCAATCAGCAGCATGCATCTTGACTTGCTAGTCTAAGCCTTCATCTTCAACCATTTCATCCTATGTATTTGTAAAAGCAACATATATCAGATAACCAGAACAAAAAATAATAATCACATTTAATGCTTTCTAAAAGTGAATATATTAATCATTACCTCATTTTGTCGTCGTTTAGAGTCTAAATTTGGAAATTGATCTCTATGCTCTAGATTGGATGACACATTTTCAACTGTTCGAGTCAAAGTATCCACCACTTTAGGATCAATTTGCTTGAGCGTCTTCATTAATTCTGCTACTGTTTCTTTCACAATTTCGTCTTTATAGGGCTTTAGGAACTCGTCAGGAATTATTGGTTTGTTGCTCTTTCCCCTTAGTGAACATATCCCTGGTTGCTTTTTTTTAAGGCCAAAGTTATTTGGCTTATTCATTACTTCAAAGTATGCAACATCTCCATCAATTTCACTTTGCATTTGGACTTCCTCCATCTTGTCCTATAATTGGAAATATAACAAATAAATAACTAGCTAATTTCACACAAATAATCATATTCCAAAAAAAAGTGGAGACAAGGAGACTTACAATGTTACTTTGGGTGGGCTCGTAAGAAGTTTTGTATTGTTTGTCTGCTTTCCTTTTACGACTTTCTTTGTACACATGTGCTAAGGATGGTGGCTTCTTTTCAACATCTAGTTGTTGCTAGAATAAAAAATACATCAAAATAAGAATTCAATAAAGATTGTTAAATGATCATAGTGAGAACGATAAGAAAGAAATAACTTAATACAAATATACCAATTTATGTTGTTTCCTCGTGAAAGTCATAGGACCCATAGTGTGCCTATCTATTTAAACTTTACTTATTTCACTTTTCTTTTTGTTGTCTTCCTACATGCATGCATAGCACACAGTTCATAGCTTAAAATTTTTTATTTTTAGAGGGTAGTAAGCAATTGTATTACATATAACGGAAACAAACAATAAATTTTACCTGAACTTGTTCCAAATTCCAAAATTCTAGCAACTCTTTGAAATGCGCTTCTGGAATTATAATAGGTGGATCTGCCAACCTATCACCATCATTGTCATATGGAGTAAAGTGGCTTGCCTTTACACTACATTTATATTTACGCCAGAGCCTTCCCACGGATGACAATACACTGCCCTTACCTTCTTCAGGGATAATGAATTTCTTTTGTACTATGCAAAATATTAAACAAGAAAATTAGGGAGTGCCCAAAGAAGCACATCTTAACCAAGAACACTACATTATGCTTTTTATCATAATCTATTTCGAATTGTACTTGTATCAGAATTGTGGTAAAATATTTTTATATCAGAAATTTTTTGCTATGCAAGGTGCTGGATGTGTGATAAAAAATTACAAGGGGGATCTAGTTAAAATAGCTACTTGGAAGATGCCTACTTATTTGTTTTTGTGAAGATCAGGTCTTTTAATTTGCAAGTAGGTTAAATATGTGGCAGCTAGATAAAGTCAAGTGTATGTTGTATCTTCTCACAATAAAAAACATTGAGCACTTTGAAAATTACAGTAGCTATGTAACTCATACTCTTTATAAAAGACACAAAATACTAGCATTTGAATACATAATAAAAGGTACATACCTTCACATAATTCCAAATTTCATCCTTGTCTTTAACATGATGCCAATTAATCTTGTTCAACGGCGCTAGAGAAGCATTACGAGCTAATGTCCCTAAGAATCTTGTAAATGTATCTACGGTCTTATCGTCAGGACCAATAGGATTTCCCATTTCATTAAGAACAATAAGCTTACGCTCTTCTAATGTCCATTCATGAACATCCTTACACATAGTAGGTCCTCTGGTACGCTTCTTTTTTGGAAGTACTACATCAAAATTAACTGAACAAAGTCATTAAAATTAAAATCATGTATTGCTCTTAACATATCTATCTTAAAATATTTAGAGCGGAATGATAGTGATCATTATCTATTTGTTCACTTTCGTGCTCATGATTCATTAATGGTTCAGCTTGCATTCCTAGCTCCTCGGGGGTAAGAGTACTAAAATCCTCACTATACTCATCTTATTCATCTGCATATTGTTCCAAATTACGTTCATTTAAACCCATATGATTCTCGTAATCTTCCTGTAAGTCAGGTTCAATTCTTTGTGGTTGTGAAAAACTGTGTGCTTGCGAACCCCTTAAAAGCACCTGTGAACTAGCCCTGTTAACAGGTTATAGTTGTCGTTGTAATAAATAAGTTTGTTTTGCTTTTTTCTCTTTTTCTATCAATTGTGTTTTCATTTGCCTGAAAGCACTGAGTGAACAAGGAGCAACCATTGCCTTACTCTGCGCTATCTTAGCTTGGACACCCTTCCCAAGTTCAACCTCTTTCTCTTGCTGACTATGGGACGATAGATTTTTCCGTGCATTAAACTTGCCTAATTGGATTTTTCTTTGCGTTGAATCTGTCCCTTGCAACCCTTGCCCTACTTGTTTTTTTTCGATGTTTTGATGACGCATCTTAACAAGATTAGCCATTGGTACTGAAGAGACACTTGTCATGTCTTTAATGTTTGTGGGAATCATCCCTCTCAATGCCACAACCTGCAATAAAGTATTCGAGAAAAACATTAAAAGTATTACATGACTTTTTATCAATTCTGACTCACATAATGAAGTTCTCAGGAAAAAAAAAAGAAACACCTTTTTCGAACGAGACCTCAAGTTTACACTGTTTTTCCTTATTAGATTTTCATCCTCTTCACTTGAGTGGTTCAATTCACCCTCTTCATTAGGTGTGTACTCGTTAGTATCTTTAGTCACCTTCTTGCTTTTTTTTTCGTTTGTTTCGATCCCTTCACAGATTGTTTCAGCTGATAAGCCATGGACATAACCCCCAAATCCTTCATTCTTCTTTTGTTTTGTTTTATCCTTGCTTGTCTAGCTTTCTCATAATCTGCCATCGCTTCCTACAGAAAAACTCATTCCAAAAACATCAGATTAGTCTTGCAGTGATTAGTCCTGGAAACATAAAGACGAGGGAATGGAAGAGTGTACTTGCAGTGATAAGTCATGGAAATATGTATGTATTGATGGCATTCAGTTTGATACAAATAACATTCAAAACTTTGCCATTCCAGATTAGTTTTATAGTTTCTCTATTCATTTCAATATTGACAATAACAATACAGATATGGATTCAGGCTTTTATGACACTAAGCCACTTTAAATTTTACACACGCACACAAAGACACAAGAATTCTGAATTTAAGCTCTGACTTCATATCTGATTTTCAATTCTGAGCTTCAAATCTGAAATTCTGATCTGAATTCAGGTCTGAATTAAGTTCTGAAATTCAAAACTGATTTGATTTTCAGATCTGATTTCAGTTCTGAAATTTAGGTCTGATTTCAGTTATGAAATTGAGGTCTGATTTCAGTTCTGAAATTCAGGTCTGATTTCATTTTGTCAAAAGTGAGAGTGGTGAGGGAACAGGTTGCTTCTAGGGAATAATTATTATATAAGTTAGATTACTGCATCGATTCGTATAAATCCAAGATTAAAACCCAACTAGGATACAAAAGAAATACATGAATGACATGTAAGAAAAGGAGGCAAAAAGTTTTACAGTATAAAAACCAAGGTGCCATTTCTGGCATAAATTTAGCCTAATAGGATTCTATACTGTAAAACTTGAGTGACATGTAATGACAAGCAAGTTAGTTCATGTATTAGAAGTTAGTTCTTATATGTCTAAGAATGGTTTTTCCATTTTAGTTAAGTATCACATGTATTAGCCTAATAGGATTCTATAAGCAACTGCAAGCATGGTACCCTGATGACAAAAGATGCATAGGATTAATACAAATATCAGAAGTTGAGAACAGATCTAAAGTTGTTTAATACCCTCGTTTGTTTTAACAAGGCACGTTGACCATTTTACCGTGTATTAAGAGTTACTCTGGAGTAGTAAATAATGCAGTGGTGATTCAGATTTGACATTAAATACTGAATTCAGAATATAAGTAAACCAGCACATCAGACAGACCAGACTAACACACTATCTGGCCTACTACCTACTTTTTTCAGTATTCGAAATCTCTCTTCGTGGGCAGTAAATAGATGGTTAACCAGTATGGTGACATTGCCCAAGCAACTACAGTCCAACTTAAATAACTACCCCTAGGAAAACTGTGAATTCAATCACAGAAGTTTATATCATTTAGGTGATTTAACTTGGCTGGCCACTTAAAAGGGAATCCAAGATGGGAAATATATATATCCAATCACAGAAAGGGGTTCATATTCATGAGGGGAAAAAAATTGAAAAACTAGAAAGAGGTTCATAGTCAGAAATAAAGGCCACGCAAAACTTTGGGATGAGCCTTCCTAACATTAGAAATGAAAGAAGACAAAGTGTTTTGGGTAAAATTACCCTGCCACGTGGCGGCCTGAGAATAGGACACTTGTCCGCCCAACACTAGGACACTTATCCGCCCAGCATTGGTTTAAACAAAACCAATGGAATACTGACACGTGGACCCCACTGTCATGTCATGGAATGGCGGCTTTCAGGCCCGATTCCCCATAACTTGTCATAGCCCACCAAATCTAGGTCACATGACGTAAAATAAGGGCACATTTTCCCATGGCCCTATAAATAGGGAGAGATTCCCCATTATGAAGGGGGATTGAATCATTTATTACATCACCTGCATTTCTCTCACATCAGAGAAAGCACCTGATCTCGGTATCTGTAATGATATCATCTTTACCTTTTTCCGCACTTTTTACTCACTCCTACACGTTCTAACTTGATCGTCAGAGGAGGAACTCCAACCAACAGGAGTCTCCGTTGTTTTGCAGGTACAGGCCGCACCGGACCAATCTTCGAGCTGTAACTCTCCCAAGGGACTAAAAACACCCAAAAACAGCCGTCTGTGGGGAGAGTACCTCAAGATGGTTCAAGAGTCTGTACCACAACCTGATCCCATCAATTTACCACCGGTTATCCAGCCGGTAACTCAGGAAAACCCTCAACCGGTTACTCAACCAGAAGGCTCTGGTATTCCTCAGCCAATTAGCCGGCCTCAGCCAGAGGTCGTCACTGAGGATGAAACTGATGATGATGATGATGATGATGATGTGGAGACGTATGTAGCAAAGGACGACTCCTTCATCTCCAAATACAGACGTTCTAGAGACCAGCTAGAACGGAACACCGACCAGGCGGGTCTAAGCAAAAGGCACCCCTGGAAGGACAGGAGGGAAAGCCCCTAAAAGCAGGGGAGACACCCGAGTCACTTGGGAGGAACTCATGAAGTTCATGAACTCTTTCAAGGGTGAAATCAAAGAAATGATCGGCAAGAACAAGGTTGGTTCTGGCAAGGGCCAACTGGCTAGAAAGGCTTCTCCCCCTGCGAAGAAGAAGTCAGTCAAGGATAGGCAGCCAACTCCCCATCCAAGAGAGAAGGCAGTCGCACGACTTGACTGGACTAAGATCCTCTTGCCCACTGGGCCTCAGAGGAACATCCGGCATGATCAGGCGGAAACCAGTAAAAAATCAACTCACGACGCTCGGCACATCATCGAGCAAAGAAGAAATCAGCAGCTGTCTGAGTCAGCCTCCACCTCGAGCTTTCCAGACAGCTTCAAAGAAACCTCTGTAAGGAACTCTCTGTCCTTACATGAGAGTGGATACGGTGGCAAGTCCGCTCAGCTTGGTCCCTAACTGATCGGACGTGCCCCGCATGCGTCTCAAGCGTAGTATGGTCAGTATGACCTTCAGTTCATGCAGCCGGCCCCCTTTGGAGGTCAGGCGGCATACGTCCAGCCTTTGGACTGGCAGCTCCGTCTGCTTAGACTTGGTGAACAACCTTCTGCGTTCACCAGGGAGATAACCGAGGCGGTTCAACCTGCTAAGGTTAAGAATGTGTTGGTGGGTACTTATGATGGTACTGCCAACCCAGAAGACCACCTCATGGCGTACACCAACCTCATGTATTTGCAGGGGTTGGATGATACCACTTGGTGCCGTTGTTTCCCGGCCACATCAAAGGGAATTTCCCAGCAATGGTTTGGCAATCTACCAACCAGATCCATTGATAGCTTCAAGAAGCTAGCCTTCTTGTTCGCTTCCAACTTCTCAATGAACATCCCTGCAAAGAAAACAAGTCTTGACTTGAGCACCCTTAAGTAGGGTGAGAAGGAGGGCCTTCGCTCGTACGTTAGGCGGTTCAACCTAACCCGGATTCAAATCCAGGGGTTGTCTAACGACGTAGCTTTCACAGACTTTTTCAAAGGACTGAAAGACGGGTCAACGTTTAAGTTCGACCTGGTCAGGAAAGGGGCATTCACCCTACAGGCGGCATTGAGGGAGGCCGAAAGCTTTATACAGGCGACCGACCTCTGCTCGTCTGGCAATCAGTCGGACTCTAAGAAGTCCGACAAACCAAAAGACAGCCGGCCTAATCAGGCGGCAAAAAAGAAGGAAGAGAATAAGAAGATAAAGGAAGTCTGGGCGGTGGATGACTCTGATCATCCGTCCCGGAAGAAAAAGAAGGAGTTTAAGTCGTACGTCCCCAAGTACGAGTTTAACAAATATTGCAACTCCATTTTCGTGGAGATTAAGGATCGGCTAACCCTTGAGAAGCCGAATCCTATGAAGAGTTCCCTCCAGAAGCGGAACAAGAACAAATTTTGCCAATTTCACGAAGAAGTTGGCCACGATACCAACGACTGCTTTTGATGTTAAAGGGCGTTGGATCGTTTAGCGGACAAGGGGATGTTGAAGTCTTACATCTCCAAGTCCAAGGGGAAGAATCTAGGACAGTCATCAAAGACCGTCCAGCCTACTAGTAGCACGGACACTGATAAAGATCCGGTCTACACCATAGCAGGTGGATTCTCCTGTGGAGGCCCTACTATTCGGGGCACCAAGAGCCATCTGAGGTAGATGGACTCGGCTGTTGATGAGGAGCAGGCGTCTACTAGCAGCACCTTCCCTGATGTCCTGATTACTGAGAAGGACAGGGGCAGGGTCCTCCGCCCGCACGACAATCCGGTCATCATTGAATGTAAAGTCGCCCACTAGCTAGTCGAACGAATACTTATAGACACCGGCAGCTCCTCAGATATCATCAGTTACAAGTGCTTGCAAAAGCTGAAGTACAAGCCCAGCAGCATGCACCCGGTATCCCACCCTCTGTTTGGTTTTGGGGGTGGAATGGTGTACCCAGCCGACCGAATTGACTTACCCATCCGGCTGAGAGAAAAAGGAGAGGGACGACATCTGGTTGTCAAGTTCTTGGTCGTTGAAGAGTCGACCGCCTATAACATTATTTTAGGTCGGCCCACCCTCAACGAAGCCAAGGCGGTAATCATCCCTTCACTCATGTTGATCAAGTATGAAAAGAATTATGGCTCTATTGGTTCTTTGAACGGAGAACAGAAGACGGCCCGGGAGTGCTATCTCTCGGCTGTCAAGGATACAGTGGCCCCATATGGTCAGGGGCAAGAACCAATAGACCTTGACGATGTCAAGGATACCAGCCAAGCCCCACCAGCAGCTAGAAAGAAAAGAAAAGTTGCTCAGCTGGTGGAGGTGAAGAAAGAAAAGAAATAGAAATCACTGACCGGAGAACGGTCAGATGAGCTCCGTCCCCAACCGGCTGGTGAGCATATTGATCTCGCTCTTGACGACAGTCGTCCGGATCGAACTGTAAAGGTTGGTACGGCTGCTTATGCTAAGCTGGGTGTAGACTTACACCTTCTGTTGAAAGAATTCAAAGACATCTTTGCCTTTGAAGTGGAAGAGATACCAGGCGTCAGCCCGGATCTCGCTGTCCACAAGCTCGCCGTGGACCCAAAGAGAAAGCCCATCCGGCAGAAGAAAAGAAACCACGGCGAAGAAAGAATTCAGGCGGCAGGCGCCGAAGTCAAAAAATTGTTAGACGCTGGGTTCATTTGGCCATGTAAC